GAGAACCTTGAGGGTGAGCAAATATATTTTTATTTGAAAATTACATGCAAACAATATTCTTTGGGGAGAGACCTGAATTATCTACAACTGATTTTTTTGGGTAGGGGCTACAAATTGAACCCAAGGCCTTGTGCATGCTAGGGGCACTACCAGTGAACTACATTCACAGCTTCTGCATCTGATTATAACACAGGATCTGAGCCTTGTTACCTATAGTATTAATACCACCACTGTTAGAAATGCAGTCTTTAGGCCCACAGTATCTGCTGAATCACAAATTGTATTTGATCTTGAATCCTTGGTAATTCTTATCCAATATGAAGTTGGTCTAGAATGGGTTCTTTTGCCTTCTCATTTTTGAGAGTTTGATTTAAGAGAATTATTTGTGTTGGTAGCTGTATGTGCATTGTAGGTATTTAATACCATCCTTTCAGACACTACCAAATATTCCCAGAGTAAACTATCTCTCTTGCTGAGAACCAGGGGTCTAGAGTTTGAGAACTGGAAGCATTATGGTGAATTCAAATCAATATTCTACACCTTAGTTCGTTTTTAATACTTGTCATCTCTATTTCTGCAACAGAGAGGGGCATTCATAATAGCAGAATGATTTAATAGAACAGACATCACTAAAAATCAAATCACATAATTTCTATAAGGTGCTAAGCCCAGGTTATGGTGCATCAAAAGATCTAAATCTATCTCTTGTAGTTAACAGATATTTCAAAATAAAACATTAAATGGGAGCTCTTAATCTGAGTTGTAACTATAAAATTCTTGATCATGTTGTGAAAAGGACCATAAAACCAAAAAGTGTAGTGTGCAAAGTTGTATACCAAAGGGGCACAATTTTCCCTCTTGTTAAAGATGGAATGATAAATTACTGGAGGTATCAGGCACTTTGTACCCAACAAAAATCAATGTTTTGAAGATCCAAGAGATCTTATCAAGATAATTCACCAGTGTTAGATTTTAGAAAAAAAAAATTAACTCAAAGGATAGATAAGGTGCTAAGAGATTTTATCTCTGGAGGGCAGGTGAGTTAGTGGGGAAAGAGGAATTAAAAGTTGATTTACTGGTGCATAAACTGGTGTCTTGGGAACAGAGAATCAGCATGAAGAATTTTCTGTCCTTCCAGTCCAGTGTCCCATAGGAAAGCAAAGTTAGAGGCTGAGGTAACAAGAAGGAAATATGGATTCTGAGTACATATAGGGAACTAAAACTATCTCCCCTGATGTCCCTCAGAGTGTATGTACAGTCTTGAGCTAGACCGAACACAGTGATTTTTCTTTTGAGATCTGAAGTCTGCTTAGGGAACCAACGCTTAACCCTGTTCTACTGTCTTTTCTGAGGACAGGGCTGCAGTCTCTATCCTTATCCGACAAAGGGGGGATTTGCATTTTGACATGGGACTTTCCTCCCAGTGAGTGTATCCAGGTGAGTCTGAGAGCTCAGTAGATACTGCAGAAGAAGATCAGGAAGTGTGAAACCTGAGAATGTTTACTGGAGGTCACCTGAGAGCCAGTCTGCCCTAGCCCAGAAGAGGGATTGCTGTGGTTGCTTGTTTTCTCAATTATTTATTCACAATCCTGCATGTACTCAAAATGTTCCGTTTATTCATATCATTAAAATGAGCAGTGAGCATTGAACCAATTGACCAGGGTTTCACTGCTGACAGAAGTGAAGGTAATAGATACCTGAGTAGATAACTGAACTAGAAGCATAAAGTTCTTTCACTAAAAGAACCTAAGTCAAACAATTCTTCCAATAAAGGAAAACAGATAACTGGGGTATTGGTTATAGAGGGAGATGCAGTGTAAAAAAATGAGGGCACTTTTTACTGTTTATGATAGCATATATTTGGCTATGTTTCTGTATTGGTGATAAAGGTATGGAGAATGCATTCTGGTAAATTTCATCTTGCAATAATAGGTCATGAAACATGCTCTTCAAAGTCTCATTTCTTTGTGTATTCACAAGCAAAACTTACTTAGTATATGAATAAAGATTTACCTAAGTGCCTCAATTTGCAATGGTTTCAGTGCCCTGTGAGGGTGAATATATATGCGAGTTTGTTAGCCATGTCATTTCTTTATTACAAAGTATCTATTCCTGATTTATCTCTTTATACCCAGGTGGGGGCTTTTTATTCCTATTTTTAACTGTTTCTAAAAGCAAAATATTGGAATTTTCTTTCACATATTGTCTGTTTGCTATGTAGTTTTTTTTCATGTATTTGTAAGGTGTATTTGTGGGGACAGTAAATTTGTAAATTTTGTTTGGTGGTTGTATCTATGGTCATATTATATCCCTGTATACTTCTTTTCCTTCTGAAAGAATTAAGTTGATAAATTACTTACTTGTAAATCTTTGCTTTACATAAAAACTAAAGTGAATATTCTACATCTTTAGTGTTGGCAAGCCATTTTATATTTATACACATGTATTTCCAGCTCTCACATTTCTGTGATTGTTTTAATTGTATCTTTTGCCTTTTTGTGGTTTGATACATGTTTATAAAATGCACCCCCTTTAGCCATTACTTTTAAGCATCATTCTTCTTTTCCATTTGATTAAAGCACATGTAATCTTCCTTAATGCTATTTAAACACACATTTCTTTATATAAAACAAATTAAAACTTTAGGTACTATTACCTGTATGCGTTTTGGAAGACTCCCTATAGCATTCCACTGTTTCCACAAGTCTTTGGCAATTTTATCTTGAACTAATAACCTCTAAAATAATTAGTGTTTTATATCTTTTCTAATTGATGTTTCAGATTCTTTTAATTTTCTTTAATTAGTTCATGCTATAGGCATGCATATAGACATCACACTAAATCCAAAATATAAATAATTCCAAGAACAAAAATAAAATTGATAAAGAATGGGGTAGGGAGACTGTGGAGATGGAGAAGTGACTGGGGATCAGGAAGATGGGAGAATAGGAAGGGGAAGGGGAAATAAAAATGATTAGATGTGATGTGTATATGTATACATTCCTCAAGATGAATATGACGATTAAGCATCACAAACATATACTAATAAAAACTCAAAATATATAGAATGAAGACATGATTATCAAATGTTTAAAAAGTTAAGAAATTGACACAGAGTAGAATATGGTTACTAGAAGTGAACAAGGATAGGGGAGGGAGACAAGAGATGTAGGGTAATAGGACTCAAAATACAACTACATGGGAGAAGTATTGACAAATGTTTAAGAAGAAGGAAATATAATAACCTCAATGTGAGGATTAAATATTGTATACTTATGTTGAATTATCACACTTTATGCCATTATTATATACAGTTATCACAAATCAATTAAAAAGCCAGAGCAAGGTAGCTCAGTGTCAGAGTATTTGCCTAGAATGCAGAAAGCCCTAAGTTCAATCTCTATTTGTTTCATGTAAAATAAACAAACTTTATAAAATTATTGTATTAAAGGAAAATTAAACATACCAATTTAACACTGTAAATCTCTGTTTTATAAGTTTAATTTATTTAAAAATTCTCTTTCTGGATTATGCATATCTATATGCTCACACACTTTGTATGCATATAGACAAATTAGGTCCTATGCACTCTATAAATGCTGTTTATTTGTAGTGCAGTATTCTTTTGTAGCTTGTCTCCCTTATTCTCATTCTCTCTCTCTCATAATTCCTTAGAGACTTCTCTCCAATCAATTATCATATGCAGATTAAATATTTCAAATATTCTCGAGTATTCATAATGGGGCTGTGGTATGCATACCCTTGATGACCTTTCATATTCTTTCTCATTAATTTATTATATTAATGTTACAAAAATATCTTGTTATTGTTAGTTCAAACCATGTTTCTGAATCAGAAGTCATTTTGCCTTCCGTGTTACACAGAGCAATGTCCAGAGACATTTTTGGCTCCACTCAAGGGAGGAGTCATTAGAGGTCAGAGATGCTGCTTAACATCCTACAATACAGGAGACAGCCTTCACCAAAAAGAAAACTCTGGCCCAGAATGTCAAATACGAAGTATGAAAATCCTTGAGTTAGAGAATACCTGTGCTTAAACATTCATACCTATCTTCAGAATGTCTCCCCAGTAAATAGCACCAGCTCAAATTTCTTCCACCAAATTAGAGAGTTCTCTTATTCTATTTATTTAAAAATTCCAATCTTGAACTGGGCAAGGTACTGCACTCCAGGAAATCCAACACTAGAGAGGCTGAGTCAGGAAGATTAAGTTTGGCCAATCTGGGCTACATAGTGAGACAGCCTCAAAAACCTAAACCAAACAAAACTACAATCTCACTCAATGTAACAAGGTATTATCCCAAAGCGAGAGGGTGTGGAAAAATATTCCTGATTTTGTAAACTATTACTGACTTTTAGCAAATATCACATAGTTTATCATCATTTCCCCTTCTATTATTATCTATCAATTTTTCTATGTTATCAGCATTTCAAGTGATATTTATAAATTACTGTTTTCCTACTAACTCATGGGGTATTTTTTGCCATCAACAGTCTTAAATTTTATGTAGTTATATATGTCTATCTTCTTACTCCCAAGTTTCTTACCGCACATAATTTTCTCACTATAGATTTTATATATAATTTCTAGATGTTCATCTAAAATGAATTTTTTTATTTTATACTGAAGACTAACTTTCCAAATACTAGCTGGAGACTAACTTAATTTCCTCTCCAACAGACATTTGAGTGAACTTTTATTCCACAGTCCAATCTCTTCCTACTAAATTAAACTGAAACCTTGTAACATATTAAATTTCTACATACACCATAATTTAATTCCTGATTCATTCACTGAAAAATTATAGAGTAAATCGGGAATGGCACTAGGGGTAACCCGTGGGGACTGGATCTCAAATTATATAAAATAATTTACACATTGGAAAATATAAATTAAATTAAAGCACTATATGAGTAACATCCATTTGTGTGAAGATACTCATGTTGCGTTTTCTTTTTCCTGATAGTTGTATCCACCATATGGAATTAGGAAACAACACAAGAATTTCAGAATTTTTTCTTCAGGGATTTTCAGAAGATCCAGAACTGCAGCCCATCATATATGCACTTTTCCTGTCCATGTACCTGATTGCCATGCTTGGGAACCTGCTCATCATCCTGGCCATCATCTCTGACTCCCAGCTGCACACACCCATGTACTTCTTCCTCTCCAATCTATCCTTTGTGGACATCTGTTTTACTTCCACCACCATGCCCAAGATGCTTGTGAACATCCAGACACAGAGCAAGGTCATTAGCTATGCAGGCTGCATAACCCAGATGTACTTTTTTTTGCTTTTTGTAGAGTTGGACAACTTCCTCCTGGCTGTGATGGCCTATGACAGGTTTGTAGCCATCTGTCACCCCCTACATTACATGGTCATCATGAACTGCCCACATTGTATGTTGCTGGTATTGGTGTCCTGGGTTGTGAGTGTCCTACATGCCTTATTGCAAAGCCTGATGGTGCTACAGTTGTCCTTCTGTACTGACTTGGAAATCCCACACTTTTTCTGTGAACTTAATCAGGTGGTCCAGCTCACCTGTTCTGATACCTTTCTTAATGACTTGGTAATGTATTTTGCACTTGTGCTGTTGGCAACTGTTCCCCTTGCTGGCATCCTTTATTCTTACTCTAAGATAGCTTCCTCCATACGTGGCATCTCATCAGCTCAAGGGAAGTATAAAGCCTTTTCCACCTGTGCATCTCACCTCTCAGTTGTCTCCTTATTTTATTGCACAGGTCTAGGTGTGTACCTTAGTTCTGCTGCAACCCATAGCTCACATTCAAGTGCAACAGCCTCGGTGATGTACACTGTGGTTACCCCTATGCTGAACCCCTTCATCTACAGTCTTAGGAATAAAGATGTAAAGAGAGCACTGAAAAGACTTTCCAGAGGCAAAATGTAAAAGCAGAGATCGCCCTGAGGCTGAAGAACTCTCATGATGGTTGCAGGACTTTCAAAGCTTCTGAGTCTAAAACTGTGATTCTTGGATCAGATCATAAAAATAGAAATTGCTACTTGTATTTATTCCCTGGACTTTCTATTACTATGATTTCAACCTCCATATGCAAAATAAGCAATTCACATTTTTATCTTTTATGCTCTGATAGCCAATGGATTTTGTCTTTTATGTTACCCAAATTCTCAAAGTTATTTCAAACATTGGACCTGAAATACTTGGAAATTCCCATTTACCGGATGAGTCAGCAAGAATTTCTTAAAAATAATTTTTTCCTTCCCTTTTGTAAATAGGGAGGTGTGGAGGGGTGGAAAGGAGAGAAGAGGAATGGGAAAAAACAAGAACTAAGATATATCATGAACAGGTACAAATTCCAAATGATGACTGTGACCATAATGTATACCTAAAATGTACCAGTAAAGTTAATTAGAAAAAATAAATTCCCATGTTGCATAATGTTTCTTTTGTTTTCTGAAGAACTAGTGATGGAGTTTGCTTTGTGTATAGAAAAATTACACTTGGCAACTGATGTAATTTATCTAAATCTGAGGTCAATAGTTTTCCTTTTTCAGCTATCATTCCTTTCTATATAGCTCCTTTAGTTGTTCTTCTTGATAAAGTGGACTTCAACATGCTAGTGTATTTTATACCTAGTTATTAGGGTTTAATTTTCAAATTTCTAATTGATACATACTATTATTACATATTTATGAGATACAATATGGTGTTTTGATTCATGTATACATTTTGACTCATATATACATTAGATAATGATCAACATGGGGTAGTTAATGTCACCTTAAACTTTAATCATTTCCTTATGGTGAATAGACTCTAAAATCCTTTCTTCTAAGAATTTTGAGATATGCAATGCATTATTGTTAACTATCAGCACCCCAGTGTTCCATTGATCACCATAATTTATGCCCCCTATCAAACTGTAACATTGTTCTCATGTTCAGGAACTGAAATATCCTATTTCAGCATGGTATCCAAAGTGCTTACTATAGTCATGGGAAAAACAGGAACCTAGAGATATTTACTCATTCCTTTTTCTTAGGCAGATATTTTCATGTTCTAGATAACATTTTTGGAAGTGGTAACAGTATATGAATAGCAAATAGATTAGTGGTTATTAGAGCTCAAGGACAAGAAAGGGAGGGAACAAGATGAGGCTCTCAAAATGTCCAGGCTAAGGATCTTAGGTAGGTGGAACTGTGCAAGGTTTTGACAGTTATCATTGTCTACATCTTGAGTAATGTGAGATGTTACTGTTGGGAAAATTGAGTAAACAATGCATGGATCTGTTATATTTCCTCCTTATGTATGCCAATCTAAAGTTATCTCCAAAGTAAAGTTTAATAAAAATTATAAATGAGACAAGTTAAAAATTGATGAACAAGACTTTCTTGAAGAATGGAAATTAGGACATCTTTATTTTCCCCTTTGAATTTCTTTCCTTTCTATACTTTAAGATATGTAGGCTATCATCATATGCTTAAAATCATCTAAATATATTTTATTACAGTTAAAACATAGTCAATGTGGTACAATTTAGACCACTGCCCTGAAGTGTTTTTATGTGAAAATGTTGGATAAGGAAATATACAGAATTGGGATAACTAATAAAATATTGACTTCTGACATTCCATTTTTCCTCCTTTTCCTGCCTTGGGGAGGCAAAGAGAGACGTAGTGCAGATAAAACCTCTCTGTAGGAGTGAGGCTTCTGTAAGTGAGTACCTTGAACTCCCTTCATTTTGCCAACTCGCTCTTCATGTGATGGTTTTGTGAAAATTATTTCCTTTTTTTTCTTTGACCAAGACTACCTCATATACTCAGTTGTACTCTTTTATGACTGTAGGTACTTTTCTTTCATTATGATGTTCACACAACATTATATTTTTAGAGAAAGCAATCTGTACCATCAGCACATTGTTTTTGCTTGGAAAATTTAGCTAATATATTTTGGTATTGATTTTGTGTTTTAAGATGACATTGTGACTAACCATACATGTTCCTAAAAGCAATCACACACACACACACACACACACACACACACACACACACACACACGTATGCACCAGTCTAATTTGTCAGCCAATGAAATGTCACCATGAATAAATTGAAATGGAAAATTAGTTAAGTAATGTGATACTTTAGAGATCTGACTTTAGTCAAAGTCCTTGAAAGAACTTCCTCGAGTTAGAAATTTCTCATACTCACAGACATTGAGCAGAAAGTAGAAAAGCAGCCATCAGAGATTGTGCAGAAAGAACGATAGCTTTGAGGTGCAAGGAAGCAGTGAACAGTTGTCCTTAAACTTGTTTATGCAATCAATCCTGGGAAGGCTAGCATAAATTTCCAATATCATTTCCAGGGTACCTGATGCAGTAAGTCCTTGTGGCTTGACAGCATGGATTTCTGTCAAGTTCTCAGGTGCCATTGGCATTGGTATGCAAGGGAACAGTATTTGAGCACCACTGACTTGGAGACTGTTCCACATAGTGATGGCAACCAAAACTTGTCATCAAAGAAAGTCAATGATTATCCCAAATCAATGAGTTTATAAGTCCCAAAGGTTTGGATAAAAAAAGAATTGCTGTCATAATGGGGAAAATCTATTTCTATTGACTGTTGTATCTTTTCTCAGAAGCTTCTTGGATATAGTAAACCAAACAAGATTTGGAAATTTGCTCTTTTTGAGATTTCTAGGGGAGCAAGAGTGGTATTCCTGCCTTTTGGGGCACTTTCTGTCCATATACTTGGTCATATGTCTCGGGAATGTACTCATCATCTTGGCCATCAGCTTGGCCTTCCACTTCTACACACCCATATACTTCCTCCTTTCCATTTGATCTTTGATTGACATCTATATGACCTCCATCACCATGTCACAACATTTGCTGAAATTCCACACAAGGAAAAAGATACAAACTATGAAGTCTGCCTCAGCCCTATATTATGTTTTTATTGTGCTTGGGTGCCTGGACAAATTACTCCTGCCAGTGATAACCACTGCCACTCTGTGGCTACCTGTCTCCTTGCACTATGTAGTCATCATGGACTCCCAGCTCTGTGATTTGATGGCTTTGAGATCCTGGTTGATTGGTATCACGAACTCTCTGTCCATAATCTTGACTGTTTTGAAGCTATCTTTCTCTCACACTTCTTTTGTGATCTGCCTGAAGTCCTGAAGCTGGACTATCTCCCTCACTGATTTCCCTCTTAGTGGGAAAACAGATTTTCTTCTACATCCTGATTATTTCATCAGCTGGGGGCAAATCAAAAGTCCTCCTAAGTGTGGGTCTGATCTCTTGGTTATCTTCTTGTTTGATGGAACAGATCTTAGGGTTTATTTCTATAACCATGCCTTCTAGTCAAATCTTATAGCAATAAAAGTTAAACCTCAAAGGAAATAGAAACCTTCAGATATACAGAAAAAGGAAAATCCTTTTCCAGCTCCCAGAAAGTGCCCACAATCAATCTGGAAACTCTCACTTCAGAAAGTATACTCTAACAAACAAAGCCCTGTCTAGCTGCTTCAAGCATAAAAAAAATACACACTATAAACATTATAAATAAAACACTAGACTAAGGTGTTTTAAAAACTGCAATACTTTCACTTGGTTTTTCTGAGTGTTCGTGAAATGAGCACACTGTCATGTTTATGAGTTAACTGCATTTATTCTTCTGTATCCCTGGTTTATATCCTTGTATCATTTGTCAGAATTATTTTAAAATTCCAATTGGCTTAAAAAGTTTTATTTTGGGGAGAATTTGAGATGACTAGAGGAGGAGTCACATTGGAGCTACTTAGAGGAAAAACCAACTAAAACCACAGGTAACTGGAAGAAACAGAGGGACATACATCCTGATGCCAAAATCAATCTGAAATAAGGACCTATATATCAAACAAAACATAGACAAAGGACTACATAAAACAGCCTACCACACCACAGGAATGGCAGTGGCTGGTCTCACATGTGCACCAAGCAAGAATCACAATACTGGGAAGTAGCCAAGAAACCGATGGGCTGAATGTGGCTAACTCAAGCCGCAAAAAATAGATTTGGGATATTAGGCGTCTTTCTTCTTTTGCTTTCCTACGTACCAAAGGTGCTGCATCCTGGCATCAAACTCCTTTCCCAACTGTCTGACTGCTCCTTTTCTTTTCTTCTGTCTTGGCCCTAGAGGCTAACTGGAAACACTATAAATTAGGGATTGCAGTGCAGCAGAGGTGATGGAAGAAGTGAGTGGTGACCAGCAGCTTGAGAGAAGGATGCACATGCATGCCTGGGATTTAAACAGCCATGGGAGGTAGTCACTCAACCCTCTGGAGAGAAGATTGAAGGGGAACCAAGCAGCATTTGGGTATATCCTCAGCAGCAACAATAACCCAACCCTCCTGCAGCAAGCAGAGGGACAAGAGAGACATGCTAGTAGAGGTGGAACAGAGTACAGGGAGCAGCCCCTGGTCAGTCTCTGCCTGAGGGCACAATAGCAAACCTGGGTTAGCAGTCAAGGGACATACAAAAAGCTGCTGGCTGAAGACCAGGCACAGCCTCCAGGCCAAATTCAGCCCAAAACCAGCACTAATCCTACTGCAGATTTGGCTGGGTTACACAGCACAGTTTGGGACACTACCTGTCTTGGACTCAACCACAGATTAATGGAAACCTGAGGAATTTTATTATTATATCTTTATTCATATGTTTCATTTTCCTTTTTCTGTATGGTTTGTGGTTTTTTAAAATGTTGTTTGTGTTTTTACTTTTATTTTCATTTATTCTTCTCATTTGTCTCTCCTCTCTATCTCTCCTGATTTTGTGGTATTTTCATGTGAGTGAAAATTATTTCTTGTCTTTCTAGTTTGTGTTGATATTTTTTTGCTTCAACCCTCATTCATTCTCTCCTGCCCTCTTCTCTAGTGTCCCAAAGCTTGGG